TCTTCTTCTTCTTCTTCTTCTTCTTCTTCTTCTTCTTCTTCTTCCTCCTCCTCCTCCTCCTCCTCCTGCTCCTCCTCCTCCTCCCCCCTTTGTTTCTGTAATGTGTTTCAACAAGTCAGCAGAGCTCCAGCAGGATTTCTGGCACAGCTTTACTAGATGGCGATCAGACAGACTCAATGTCATTTGCAATAGGCCCTTTTCCTTTTGACCAACTTTGAATTCATCAAAATGCATCAGCAAAACATTCTCCAAGACTTTTGCTGTGTGTCTCCAGTTAGATTCCCTTCCCTCCACCTTTCATTTTCTTTGCTCTGCTTCACTTGCTGCACCTTCCAGGCTCTAAAGTCCGAAGTGTGGGACTTCCGGTTTGAAGGGCTTCGGCGACAGACATAAATCCGCAATCGTGCGCGGTTTCTGTCTGGTTTCAGGGCTAAGCCACCCCATAAAGGTGGTGAAGAGGGGGGAGACTGCCAGCAGGGTTGAGGAGAGCCGCATCTCTCCTCCTCAGCTGGCCATTGCTCCCTTTCCTGAAGGTGGTTGCAGTGGTGGTCAGAAATGGCCCCCACAAAGGAGAATTCGACCGGAAAAGCATGTGCAGGAGGAAAATAAGAAGTGAAAGTTTTGGCTGACCGGGTTAAATCGTAAAAGCAACAACTAAGGTACCCTGGAATTTAAACTTACAAAAAATAACATCGCTCCCAAAGAAGAGTCGGAAGCAGCGAAGGAAAGTGAAAAGGGAAAGGTTTGGCTTTTTTTTTCCTTCTCTCTCCTTCCCTATACTGACAACTAAGAGACTTAAATAAGAAATCAGAAAAATCCACTTTGACATCAATAGGCAATTAAGCTGAAAATAAAACAAAATGCCAAAGGGATAATAAAGATTTCTGGACATTAAAAACTTTCTTTTTCATAAGCAGGAAGGGAGAGAAAAAGAATAAGGGCAGGATCTGGAAGAGGGAGGAGACTGCCTGGAATTAAAAAGAATCTACAGTAAAACTTCAACAAGACTTCTAAAAGATACATTTTAACTGAAACTTTGCAACTAAATAGTAACCCCAGGAAGAGAAAGTGAAAAAAAAGAGCAGAAAAGAAACAGCTTGCATGTATTTGGATTATTTGGTGATCTTTGGATTCTTGGTTATTATATTTGAATGACTAAAATCAATCGGGTGGTTGTTTAAAAATTTATACAATGGCACCACTTCTGGATGAATTGAAAATGGAACTTAAAAAGTACAAAGAAGATGCACAAGAAGGGAAGGGTTCTTTTGGCTTCATCTTTCAATTCTTAGAAATGGAGATTTGGAACTATGAGAAACAAAAAAAAAACGACTGCAAAACCAGAAGACTGGGACAAAGAAGAAGCCATCTTTAATGAACAAGCAATTTTATGTGGGAAAGGAAAAGGAAAGAGGGGAAAGAGAATGGAGAATTTAAGACTTAAAAAAACAACCAAAGAAAAGAAAAATAATTCAAAAAATAAGTATAATACTGGAAAGCAACAGAAAAGGGGAATGCAGAAGAGAGAAATAGAGGTAGAGAGACAAGGGGGTAAAAAGGGGAGAGAGAAGAAGAGAGGGAAGAAGGAAAGGAAAGAAGTTACAAAGGACTGGAGCAAGATATAGAGAAACGGGACCTATTTAGAGATAACGGGTGAAAATCTAACTGAAAAAGGGATTCTGTAAAGGTACATAAGTTTGTATTGTTATATTAGTAATAGAAATAACTTTAGAAAATTGGAAACAACGTATGATTAAAATGAGGGATAAAATAGTGTAATTTAGTGAAATGTTTGTGAATAAAATAAGTGAAATAAAATAAATGAGAAAATTGAATTAGGAAGGAACGGGAACATTTTAATTAGTTAATGTTTTATAAAATATAAGTGAAGGGGGAGGGGAATTAACTATGGATTGTTCCCATAGAAGTATGATATTTAATTGAAAAGTAATGTTAAAGATGTTAAGACTTATATTAATATTAGTGATAGAATTGAATTGGAATGGAATGTTGTTTTAATTATATACATTTATGTTTTTTTCTTTTTTTTAAGAATACAGTGTGTATTTTAAGAATGTACCAAGCAGAATCCGAATGGAAGTTATGTATTATATTGAATGTTACAACTTTAGGGAAAAGATATAAAGGCATCATACTCCAATCAGTAACTACAGGAGAAATTTTGTTTAATGAGAAAAGATAATAGATAATTGAAACAGGACAGACAAAAGTATAAATACAATGATTTGAATTGAGATGTGATAATTAAAATAAAATTGAGAAAATTAAAAGAGGGGAGAAGCTATGCAGAAAATGTAAAATAGTAATAAGATTTGGAATAGAATATAAAAATGAGCATGAACCTGAATTTGTGTCTGTACGAAGAAATGTAACCCGGGATTACGCTACTTTCAAAAAAGATGTTTTATTTATATATTTTTTTTCTCTTTGTGAAAACTCAAATAAAATTTACAAAAGAACAAAACAAAACATTGACTCCGCTTTTCATCCTTCCGAGGTGGGTAAAATGAGGACCCAGATTGTTGCGGGCAAGAGGCTGACTCTGTAAACTGCTGAGAGAGGGCTGGAAAGCACTATAAAGCAGTATATAAGTTGTGTGTGTGTGGTTCCTTGCTTGGAATTTGCTCTCTAGGAAGCCAGGAAAGAGTTCCTTGTCATTCCACATCCTCTGCCCTCAAAGAACTGCCAAAAAATCTCTTCCTCCCCCCAATCCCTATTTAGAGAATCTGCAAGAGATTATCCTTCACTACAAAGGATTTCCTTCCCCCTTTGTGTGTTCCACCAAAGGAAAAGGGAAATACACACACAACTTTAGTGACTGAGCAATAAAGAACCTTCAGATGTAATTTGGTCTACTCCAAAGCAGCTCTTTCAAAGGGTTTGCAGAAAAATGGGGTGGGAGGAAATCAAGTTTGAAATTCGCATCTTCTCCCAAATGCACCAAGTAAACACCAAGTATTGGTTTAAATGACCCTACATTTCAAACATTGATGCAAATCATATTACAGGTAACTTAGAACAATGGATTTAGTGACTTACGTCGCTGAAAAAAGTGACCAATGACCATTTTTTCGCACTTAACGACCGTTGCAGCATCCCCATGGTCAGGTGATCAAAATGAGGATGTTTGGCAACTGGTTCATATTTACGACAGTCGCAGTGTCCCTGGGGGGTCACGTGATCCCCTTTTGTGACCTTCTGATTAACAAAGTCAGTGGGAAAGATGGATTCGCTTAAGTACCAGGTTACTGATTTAACAACTGTAGTGATTCGCTTAATAACTGAGACAGGAAAGGCCGTAAAATGGGACAAAACTCACTGAACAACTTTACCACTTAGCAACAAAAATTCTGGGCTTCCCTGTGGTCGTAAGTCGATTTACTGCACATTGTTTCATTTGAATTGCTGGGGAGGCAACCTATGAATAGTTGCATAGAAAAATGGATATTAACTCTCTCTTGGCAGCTCTCCAAGCCTGATAAGGTTGGTGGTTGTAACTCACCCTTGAAAGACTGTTTGCTGGGTATGAATGAGAGGAATTCACCTTAGCCAAATAAAAAGAGGTTTTGTTGGGACGAGAAGTCTGCTTCGTGATTTTGGGAGCCTAGGTCAGAACACGAGCCATGGAGGCATCTTTGACCTGGGATCCTCCCTTAAGCCTCTACTTCTACCCTCTTTTGAACCCTGTCCGTACCTGCTTGTGAGGATAAACGTTAATATGGCACTTGATACATTCTTGTCCCATGTTGGCCCACGAGTTCCCACTCATCCATTTTCTCTTGCATTTGGGGCACTTATATTCTCCAAAGCAGCGTTTCTTCCCTTGGTATGGAGTCAAGCCTTCTCCTTTTGGACGAGCCTAAAAAGAAGAAAGAGAGAGAGAGAGAGGAAACAACCTTAGTGTCAGGATTCCAACGATCACCCTAATTAAACTGTGAGCCTCTAGCCAAACTTCAAAAACCTTCAAAGGATTTATTAGGAGCGACCTTCTGGCATGACCTGTATGAAGCCGACTCTGTGATACGTAATTTACAATCACCTATGACCCTGTTTCCACCACCACCACCCCTCTGTATCATAATTCAGATTGTCCAACCGAACACATTCATGGGCTGGGTGTCCTCAATCATGCTTTCCAATGAAGGATTTTCGCCCCAGAATACCCAGTAGCCTCAGTTACAATATTTGTGAGATAAACTTGGAATGTGCTTCTGAGTTCATTTGCCATATGCTCCTTCAGGTTTTTCCCCTTCCCCTCTTTTTTATGGCAACTTGGAAACTGGCATAGGAATGTTTTACAAGTTGACACTTATTTTAAGGCCGGAACTCGAAAGACAAATGCATTTTCTTTGCTGAACAAGGAGAACAGCGACTACATTAGAACAAATTCAATCAGTTTGGAAACTGAAAGGAACACGCAAATTGATGAATTGTTTGCCTTCTTTGGGTTTGTTTATCTTTCAGCTCTCCTGAGATCGGAAATGCATCTCTCCTTGCATTTCTGACTTCGGGAAAATTGTGGGGGTTTTTTCTTCTTCTTTTCAGCTATGCTTTTTGAGTTGGCATAATAAAGGTTTTAAGGAAGGTTCAACGGACACAAGTATAGTGGACTGACGGGTGTCAGCTAAAAGTTTAGAGCAGGGGTGTCCTTTCTCTATAGAAGAATAAGTAGAAGTAAAAATGGGGGGAGATAAACATCTTGTGGTTAATGTAACCCTTGAGTAAATGCATGAATAGGATTATACTATCAACATGTCGAGATACTATGTGTGAAAGACTGAGAATACTCAGAATAATATAGGAGCAATAACATGATATATTTTGGAAAGTGCTTCAGGAAGGATCCAAAGAACTTAAGTGCATTCCAGGACAGCAGCATTCACTCTCTTTCCTTCTTTAAAATATAGATTATCCTTCCAGTGTATTTATTAATAGATATATAAATTCAGTTTACAGTATACCTTGCCTACTGACCATAGAGAAGAGCTGAAAAACAAAGATTGGCAATCTTAAATTTGTGGACTTCAACTCCCAGAATTCTCCAGTTGGCTGACTGAGGAATTCTGGGAGTTGAAGTCCACAAGGCTTAAATTTGCCAAGCTTGGACATCGCCTGGTTTAGAGGTAACTTTTTGCATCTCTCTGCTGTCCTCAAGTGGTGAACTGGATTCTATATTTTATAGGAAGGAAGGAAGGAAGGAAGGAAGGAAGGAAGGAAGGAAGGAAGGAAGGAAGGAAAAGGAAGGAAGGAAGGAAGGAAGGAAGGAAGGAAGGAAGGAAAAAGAAAGAAATGAAAGAAAAAGAAAGAAGACAAAGATGCAAGAAAGAGGGAGAGATGGAAAAAAAGAAAGGAAAGACAGAAAAAGAAAGGGAAGGAAAGGAAGGAAGGAAATGGAAAAAGAAAGATGTTTAAAGATATTCTGTGGCTGGCAGAAGCCACATTTGAACAAAATACACTGAAAAATACATTCCTTTGATTGATCAGTTTCAAAGTCAAAACTGGCCTTCAGAGATTGTTAATGATGGAATTTCTTTGAAGGGGATTCCAACTCTATGGTGCATTTCAAAAGATAGCCGCTTCCATTTTTCCCAATTGCCAGAAAATGCAGTGAAGTTTGCCTTCCTGCAATTAGCCATCTTTCTTCCCCTATTCCTTGGCTTCCTTGGTACTTTCACCCACAGGGGAAAAATATGTTTGGCTTCTCCACTTTTCAGCCACAGAATATTTGTGCCAAATGCAAAAGTTAAAACCCTTGGTAGACTTTGGCAGTAGTTCCTGCCATTCCTTTGCATCCACCAATCAATGTCAGACTTTTCCTTTAACAAAAATTCTGGATTAAGTATTCCCATAATGCTGACTCTCTTTTCCAAGATCCCAACAGCAGAGAGATAGCTGGATTTAGCGCCTCAGATCAATTGTTCTCTTAGACATCTCTTTATTTACTTGATTCTGTGACAGGGATGGATCCTAATTTACACGGACATTTATTCGAGAAACAAATCCTTTCCAAAATGACAGTGCCCATATTCCCCGCCCCCCCAAGGCACACCCTCAAACACACTCACTGGAGATCTGATTCCCAAAATTGGTAACATGGCACAAATGGATCAAGATCTCTTTGTGATCCATTTACACAATTTCCCTTTCTTTCTTTTAAATAAAGTTTTATTAACTTTCTATTGTTTACATTTTTTGTTAGTGCTTAATAAATGTTGTGTTCTCTGGGTTATTTTATTTGCATTGCATTCTTAATCTGTTTATTTGTTCATCACGATTTCAATTATTGAACAACTCTGAGCTGTTCCTCTTCATACCTGCAGCTTTCTTGAGGCTGTCCAGAATTAAGTGTTCATGATAGAAATTACACAGTAGCTTCAGACAGTAGCATTAGTGCCGGATCAAACTAATTCAAATTCAGATTTTATTATGACTATTTTAGCAATCTCCTTGGAGTAAAAGCTACCTGAGGAAAAGTCAGTTTCCCTAAAATTAGCTTATACCAAAAGAGGGGCATACAAAGATGTCCTCACCAAATTCTTATCCCAATACATATCCCTATAGTATATAATCTCTGAACATTTAAATTATGTTTATTGTGACTGTTTTGATATCTATCTATCACTATGAATCTGTCTATCATCTTGAAAACCATCTTATTCATTTGCTGACATTTCTGTTTCCATGAAACCCACAAATCAGGTAAACATCTTGGGGAAAAAAAAAACTTATTTGGGAATGATTTAAATATAAACATTATTTGCAATGCCTGGAAATTCCCAGCTCAGATCTCTGAAAAACATCTTGAAATAATATCTTGAGAAATAAATACCTTGAGAAGTAAAACAAAGAAAAGGAGAGCCAACCTCTTTTCCAAACCACCAAGAAGGCAAGACAAGAAGCACTGGATGGAAACAAAGAGAGAAGCAATCTAGAACGAAGGAGAAATTTCCTCACAGTGAGGACAATCAACCAGTGGAGCTGCTGGCCTTCAGAAGCTGTGGGTGCTCCATGGCTGTGGGGTTTCAAAAAGAGACTGGAGAACCATTTGTCAAAGATGGTATAGAACAAGGGTCTTCCAGTTTAAGACTTGTGGACTTCAACTCCCTGAATTCCTGAACTAATAAGATAGGAAGAGGAATTCTGGGAGCTGAAGTCCACAAGTCTTAAAGCTGTCAAGTTTGAAGACCCCTGGTATAGGATCTGCTGCTTGAGCAGGGGGTTGGACTAGAAGACCTCCAAAGTCCCTTCCAACTTTTATTCTGAAATGTCCAAATGGCAAAAAAAGACAAGAATGGCAAAAAAAAGTCAAGAATGGCAAAAAAAGACAAATAACCTTTCCCACTACCCCATTTTCTTCAGCCACTGGAGACATCACTGCAACCTTATATAACAGGTTCTCTCAAGACTATGTCTCATGGCAGCTTGTTGTGCACCCCCAAGCCTTAGACTCCTTACCTTTCTAGAAGGTGAGACCTGTTTCTTAGAACCTTCGGAGGCTGGCATGGTGCTAGTATGCTTTTTTAAAAGGTGTTCTTCAGAGAAGAAGTGGACGAAGTGAAATTTATTGGAAGAAAAGTCACCTCAGGACCTCCAGATGATGGGAGACAGAAGGATTTCAGACCTCCAGAGGAAAGCCTGAAGCTTTTCAGCACAAGGGTGGCTGAAGAATCCAGAAAGAGACCTCAGGCAATGAAGGAGATATCAGTCTGAATGCCTATTTAAAGCGTCTGACAGGGAAGAGGGAGGAAGCAACACAGTTTCAGTTAACAAACTGAAAGAAGGAGGAGAAAATGAAACAGGCACGAGAGGAGAAATGAAAGTGAATACTTAAAGAGAAACAAGAAGAGAAACCAATCAGGTAAGAAAGTTAGAAGAAAAGGAAAAAGAAACTTCGGAAGAAAAGAGAGACTGGGGAAGAAGCTGGTAATAGAGATTTAACACACACACTATATATATACATATACATACAAACATACATATATACACACACATATATACACACACATACATACACACACACACACATGTATGTATGTATGTACTTATGTATGCATGCATGTATGTACCTATGTATGTATTATGTATACTTATGTATGTATGCATGTATGTATGTACTTATGTATGTATGTATGTTTGTATGTACTTATGTATGTACTTATGTATATGTATGTACTTATGTATGTATGTACTTATGTATGTTTGTATGTACTTATGTATATATGTACTTATGTGTGTATGTACTTATGTATGTATGTATGT